CACGTGAGCTCGACCCTCTCTGACCAGCCAGTACACTCATTCTTCTTAGGCATGTAGATGGTCTTCGGCAGATACCATGTGGCAAGTCGTCGACGAGATGAAGAAGCAGGATATCGAGCCAGACGAGGACACCTACGCCCTCATCATCGGACGCGCCACTGCCACGGAGAGTCTCGAACTTGCTCTCCAGCACATGCACGAAATGGACACCCTCGGACTCGTTCCTCGGCTGAAGACCACTCAAGACATTATCAAGCTCGCCGCAGATATGGATATGCCAAAACTCGCCTATCGAAATCGCCCAACGATTTCAATCCCATTCCTCCCGCAACCTCGGTGGCGAAACATGGATGTCCTGTCTCACATCATCTGCAAACATGGTTTATGTGCGTTCACATTCCCGAGTGCGTTCTGTCGACTGCAAATTCGCCTCTAGGCACACGGCATCAAGATGTGCTGGCAAAAGACCGTGCATGAACTGAACTTCACCCCTGATGAGGGCGCTTGTCTATCCGTTCTTCACTACATGCGCTCGCCACGGTCTTTCAGATCTGGCGTTGGATGTCATGCGGGTGCTTCGGGGGATTGGTGTGGATATATGGTACGAGCACCATTATGCTCCCCTGGTCGAAGCGCTTTGCAAAGACGGGAAACTCAAGGAAGCCCTACAAACCTTGGATTCGATGCGCAAACAGGGCATCAATCCCACTCGTGAGACAGTGCGCCCGTTCGCCGAGTTTTTGCAGCAAGACGTGGACCATGTCGATGGCGTTTGGCAAACGCTTGACCAATGGCTACGCGAGGGGAATACCGTGGATCCCTTCATTCTCAATGCCATCGTTCAAGCGTCCGTCTCCCTGGACGACCTACAACGTGCCGTCGGCGCATATAAATCCTTCCCCGACTATAGCTGTAAACCCAACGTCGAGACGTTCAACGCGCTTCTCTCAGGTTGCGTCACCGCAAAACACCGCGAGCTGGGCAACAAGCTCCTTTTGGACCTGAAACAAGCCGCCGTCAAGCCCAACGACAAAACGTACGAACACATCATACTGCTGTGTCTCACCCAACCGGTGTACGATGACGCGTTCTTCTATCTCGAGGAGATGAAAACACTCAAGTTCATCCCCTCGGCGAGGGTGTACGATGCGATCATTAGAGTGTGCGTGGCCGCCAAGGATTCACGGTACTCGATCGCTCTCGCAGAGATGCGCCACTGCGGTTACGCGCTGTCTCCGTCATTTGCGTCAATTCTTGTCTGATTTTGGCCTGCTACCGCCGCAAGATACGACAACTGCGGAGTCGGGCGATGGGAGTCAATAGTGGGGCGGTACATATTTCAGAGCAAGATCCGCAGTCCTTGATGGAGGCTCCCCCCTGTTCGGTGGTAATACTTACATGATCCTTTTCCTGTCTGAGCTACTTAAGTTCCTGGGCCTATGGGCGCAGCGCTGCCCCGCTGAGTCATGTATCCCGTTCAAAATTTGTGGAACCTTGAAGGGTAGAATTTACGAAATTTCGACTAACACTGTCGCCCTTGTCAAGCTAGAGGCGTACAGATATAGACTGTTCTGGAGCGGTGGCCGACGTCGGACGATACGGTACAGATATGGTTCATTGCATAACGCTTGTATTTCGCGATATATACGGTCGAAGCAACGGGATACAGCTGGAAAAGTAGACAAGCCCGTCACCTTCTTCCCTGGCTTTCCTCCATTTCAACCACACGACGCGACCTGCAACCGACTGAATCGTTACAACCGAGACTCTTCCCCCCCTGAGGCTTTACCACCCTCATTTCTACCTCTTTACATCGGTGGACACCGGGTCCTCGTCCTCCCAGGGACTGAAGTTGGGTTTTCTAATGAGCGGCAACGATTGTAGCCACGCAGGCAGAGCACAGTCCTTCTCCCCAATGCTCCTCCCTTGGGCCTCTGCATGGGTATGGACAGGCGACGACGGAATACTTCCCACATCGCTGAGGCTTGGAAGACGTTCGAGGCTGGTGTTCGTCGACCCACCAAGGGCCCGGTGTAACGCCTCGCGCTCCGCGCGAGAAGGGGCGAAAGCTCGAAGTAGGGAAGACGGCGTCGAAGATGTGATGTTGGACATAAGGCCCGTAGGATTTAATGCATCAAAGGAAGATACAGAAGTCGGGGACACGTCGGAGCTGCCTGCCTTGTCTGATGTAAACCTTGTGAGACGGAACACCTTTGCATCTGGATTGAGACCGCTACGACGTTTTTCACTTCCTAGGATGGTGAACCACCCCTGGGGAGGCGTTTCTGCACTTTGCCTTGCAATTTCCGGGAGGTCATCTGATCTTTGGGTTTCATAAAGGGAATCATGGCTAGACCGTCCCTGAGGGCGACGAAAGCCAGATGAATCGTGTTCTTCCACCTCCAAAGAATCTCCAGTGAATTCAATGGGTGAGGCTGTCAAAGGAACATTCTGGATACCGAATCCTCCCTTCCAGTCTGTCGAAGGAGAGTCCAAAACACTGATCAGGCTGCTTGGAATGAATGCCGCTGAAGGAGTCGGTGGATCACAAAAAGGTGAGAATGAAGTGGCATGTCCAAGTTGGAAGTAACCATTATGACCAGCGTCTGACGGTAGTGATGTTGAATCAATAGAAGGAATGTCCCCATCAAGGATGGCATGACCTTGAGCACGATGAACTGGGAGGAACCACTTGAATCAACATTAATGGAGAGTTGTTGATGATCAACACGTACCCAGTGGAGAGCGCGATGCATCCCTCGATTCTGACTCGATATCCCTTTGAAAGTGTTCCAGACTTCATCGGCGATATCAGCACATCATCTGCGGGAACGTCGAATGGCTTGTAAGACGAAGACCATGCAGAGCTATCCGTTTTCCCGTGGCTGTACTGGTGAATGAGGTTGCTATTCCCAATGTCAGAGTAAGATGCGTCAGTTAAACCGGGGTATGCCTTGGCAAGTTGAGCGCGGTGGTGTGCAGGCGCGAAGCCGAGATTTCTCTGTGTCAATCTTCTCCTCCAACTCCCGTGCACGAGTGTTCAGCGTGACAACTACTTCCTCTGCTACTCGCACTTCCTTCCGTTTTCTTTCCAACTCGCAGACTAGTTCCTCTTCCTCAGCCGTGTCGACATCGCTGGGTTCGGTGGTAAGAAATGCACGATCACGTTCCATCCGATCTTTTAACCTTTGAATTTGGTTTTCCAGTTCTTCCACTCGGCGTATCGCAGAGTCCTTTGCGTTACGGGCAGCTTTCATCTTCTTTTCTGCCTCCCTCTTATTGATCTCTGCCTGGCGCCTGGCTTCTTCTAGCGTCTTGGTACGAGCGCGACCATCTATCCGCCTTTGTTCTTCTTCCTTTCTCTTCAAACGAAGATCACCAAGCTCGGTCTCCAGTAAGTCACGTGACTGATTAGTAGCATTCTGCGCTTCCTGAAGCTGGTTCTGAAGGTCATGAACGGACGCCTGTGCCGAAGTTATCTGTCTCAAGACTTCCGCGATACTTGAAGAATGGTCGGGAGTCCCAGATGTAGACGAAGTACGAGAGATCGTGTGAGCGACCGGAGGAGCATGTACTGCGAGACGCTTCTGGTCCGTAATCAAGTGAGAGGACTGAGGTGCCACTGGCAGGAAATCTTGGAGACGGTGATCGGCGTGCAAAGGGAGGGAAGCGGACTTTGGAAGTGGTGGCGGCGAAGAATTACGATGAGGGACAGCTCCGGGCCGCTGAGCGGAACGTTCTCGGTTACGCAGTTTGGGCGGCGCCCCACGTAATAATGGGCGAGGACACGGAGCAAACTTGGCAAATGGGAGACCTAGTCGAACGAATTAAGGGACGAGGACATCTGGGACTTTGAGAAAAAATCTACCATTGTAATCATGGAATTTGTCCAAAGCTTTGAAACCAAGAATGCCCGAACTCCAACCCTGAGCGTCCTTGGAACGAATCACGGCGTCATAACACCATGACTCGACGAGACCACCACGCCACCAGCGTCCAAAGCACCGATGAACCAGGAATCAGAGGAAACAAAGCCATCAAGATCCGAACGATGAGAAGGGTGACTGTGTGTGGTGGATGGTACGACGGCCACTCGCAGGGACTGCAGCGCCGCGGGTTGTGGCAATCGTGCAGATACCAAAGCTATGGAAGACATGCTTTGGAGTGCGGAGAGACACGGAAGCACGGTTAGCAAAATGGAAAGGAAGAGTGGTACGATCCACCGAATTGTTGCGGTCTGCGCTGTGAGAGCGGGAACGAGAGATGGCCGAATCGAGCTCCGGGGAAGAGTCGTCAGAAAGATCATCAAGGTGACTCAAATGCTGGCGAAAAGACTGTTCAGTGAGATAAGCCCTGAAAGAGATTTCGGAGGGATTTGTGAGGTACGCTTATGGGTGGCGATGATAAGAAACGGAAAGTGAGACCGAGATAGAAAAAGGAAGGATGAGAGAGCTCACCGAGGATGAGGACGACTGCGACGACGACGAGAGCGCAGATGAAGGATCGAAAGCCAGCCCTTGTGCGGAGTGCGGTGTCCCAGGAGTGGAATGGGGTCCACGGGTAGAGAAGACTGAGACCACCGAAGGATAAGGTCATGAGCCAGAAAACGATGGACGGATGGGTTCGTGCAATGCTGGTGGACTGGAGAGAGTGAGGATGGGAAAAGTGCTGAGTGTGGTTAATTACAGACACCGTACTTGAATGGGGACGAATTCGCCCCAAAACTCAAATGAAATCGAGACTCTACGCCGTGACCGACGACGTTGACGAAGGGAAGAGAGCGCCGTGCAATCTCTCTGAGACCGGAGTAGGAAAATTTGTACGTAAAATGTACACAGTTTCGCACCAACAAGTACTCGTAGTACATCACTAGGGCAGTGTTCGTGGCCTTGCCAGCGCCTTCAGCCTCGTTGCTGCGCCCATGTCACCAACTTTAGACCCCCTCTCGATATGTGGTCGGCCCCGATAGACTTTGTGCATGGACACACGCGGTGCAAAAATGTCCCAGGGAGGATTCGAACCTCCGGCTTCACGGTTTGGCATGCCACAACGTGATGATTTAACCACTAATCGACAAGGACGTGACATCGAGCCCCACTAATCTACATTACCCCGCTGGGATTTAGACGGTCCGACTGCTCCACACTCTCCTTATCGAGACACTCAGCGATAGCCCAGGTTCGGGTTCGTGTGTTACCAGAATGGTCGTCTCGTTTAAAGAAGCAGCCGGTTGCGACGTGCGATGTCCCAGCGAGAATTGTGCCAATGGTGGGCGATAAGGACCGTCCAATCAGAAATTGGTCTGACGTTACATAACCAAGTGCTGTCCATCACATCTGACGAGACATAATATTAATGTTGCCTCCCAAAAATTTCCTTTGTCCTTCATCAAACACCCTCCAGCCATGAGGAAGACATCATACGTGGTCACATTCGTCGCCGTCTTCATCATCCTTGTCGTCGTAAGTCCCTGCACCACACCCCTGTCCGCAGCAGCGCTCACCGCATCCCCAGAACATTTTGTCTGCACGTCTCCCCGACTGGTTCGCCAGAACCTGTGTTCTCAGCCGCTCACGTCACTTAACCCCTTGGTTTCAAGGCTAGTCGCTACTTATGAATCTGATGTCGCAAATGCAAAATCCACGATCCGCTACGGACTAATGCAACGCTGCGACCGCTCCCAAATCAGCATCCCTGGCCCAAACAACTGGTCGTCTCGATTACACCAACTTTGAATGCCGTCCTTTCCCCCTCAGAGTCCAAGATGGCTGTGAGGACAAGAATCGTATATCCTGTGCCGAATGGGTTTCTGCTCGGTATTTCACCGAGCTCGGCATAGGATTCGCATCCATGGCCCTGGTTTCCTTGCTTATCGGCGTGAGCACCCATTCTAGGCGCCGCAGGGTCTGGAGAGCTGTTGCCGGTCTCGTTTTACTTCACGGTAGGCAATCCCTAATCTCATGTTGGGCTGATACCAACGTTTCGCAGCCTTGTTCCAGTTGGCTACGTTCGTTCTTGTGACAATCGTCTACTCGAACAATACTTTCTATGAGTTTGCACATGCTAGACCTGGTAGGCGCCCCGTCATTGTGAAACTTGACCAGTATTCATCTGCTTCAGGTCTCGGCTATGTCTTTAATGCAGTCTCCTGGGTCGTCGGTTTGCTCGTGGGCTGTGCCGTCATTGTAACTGGCATGGCCGCTGACCGCGGTCACAAATGGGCTGCCGGAAACAGAGCGTACCAGCCAATTCGGGGTTGAAACGTTGATAAATGATGACTATCTTACGTGTCTCCTTCCATTTTTTTTGCTAGATCCAAACATTTGATCCCCTTTATTCTATCACGACTGCCTTGTATTGTATATGTCGGACCATTGACCATACCACAATTTGGATTTAACCCAGCTGGACTCGTCGCAACTCATATATTTCGTCAACTAAACGAAGAACATACCACCAAATCGTCAGAGTCGCTCGTCAGGGTAATCCACTTTATCATATAGTCGTAGGGTTTCGTTCCAGTCCCTCTTTCTCCTCCTCCGCACTGAAAAGTATTTTGCACCACTTTCCCATCTGCTTTTGACTCGGCCTTTCTCCTGACCACCACTTTCCACAAAGTATCTTTCTGGATCTGGTGGGAGACCCAGGGTACGTACTGCCAGGTTTATGATTCGCGTATGCAGATCTTGGCGCGTTTCGCGTAATTCCCTAAGCGTCGTCGGACCCACCCAGAGGAGACGGAACAACATGGTGAATGCCCTGAAAGCCGAGACCGCGTCTTCAAACCATCTCAACGCCATCCACATCAATGCAGGGACCAGGATCACAGTGATCGCCGCCAAGGGGAGCGTGATCAACACAGTGGTCATCCAGACGAACACTCCAGATATGAGCCCATATGCGAGTTTGTAATCAGCAATTTCGTCCCATGTGTCCCGGATGGGCCCAGTCTTCGTGAAATTGCGTACACCGATAAAGGTAGTGATAAAGACCGGTGTCCACAATATCAGCCCCGGAAGGGATATGGTTATCAAACAGATGAACCATAGAAAACGTATAAACATCCGGAACACGATCGCGCGCCGACGTAAAGGTCGTCGAACGCGATCATCCTTAATACTCCAGTGCGCAAGCTTGTCTTGGTAAGTCTGTGAAGCGTAATGTTGAACAAGGTGGTTGTTCGTCAGGCGAAACGTCTTTACCCTCAAATCGTCACGTAATGTGTTGATCTTGTCGTCTTCCGTTTCATGTCGGTCGGATTTCTCGTTCCTTGCTTCTGCTAGCTTGAATGCTTCGACAAAGGTTCGCGTTACCCGCACAAAATCCCCTAAAGTCATGGATGTCCCCAAAGGGACGTACATCCGAGCAGCAAGCTTGGCAGACCGAATTAGATCCCAAGAAGGTGCATCAATAGTTTGAGAACTAATCAATTGGTGCATCCTTGATGTGACATCTCGAATGCACTCAAAATTAACAGGGGCAATAAGCTCCGGGTTTGTCTGTGTGATGAAATTTAGACTATAGGATGCATATAAATACCCTCGGGACATGCCTTTGGAGAAAACCTCATGGGGGGATTGAACGTAACTAATACGTCGGAGCGGAAATGCTGTCGGTGCCTTTTAGGGTTGAGCGACAGACAGGTAGAACTTGGCACGTGAAGTTACTTACATGTATGTCATGGAACAGGTGAGAATGGATATAGAAAAATCGGGGTTATCACGATTCCGGGTTAGCACATCAGAGACAAGTCTCGCCACTGAAAAGGAGTATTTCAGTGAATGTGATCGACGGTGTATGAGGAGACGAACCACCAGTCTTCAAAGGCGCTATGGTGGGGTGATAGCGGCTCATGCCTTCCGGAAACAAACACACAGCATCACCGGTCTCGAGTGCCTGTAAGGTTTAGGAGAGGTGTGATACCCCGGCCGGCGAGGATGAGTTATTCTGACCTGCATGAGATGTTCCATCACCTCGGAGTTATCAATATCTCCATCAGGAAAGTCTTTTCTTCGCTGAATAGGGATGGTCCCTGCAGACTCGATAAGCCAACTGGTGAATGTCCTACGCCCGAACTGGGTAGACTTGGCAGTCAGGCGCAGCATGTTACGCGTCTACTCTGATTTTAGCCTATGAATGTCGAATGAATTTCTTATGATTACCGCTGGGGGAATTGCGGTGACCAGAACACTATCCCGATTCCCAAGAGATTAAAACAAGAAAGAGAACATTGGAGTTGACCTACAGGGCATCGGTAAGTGCATTGCAGTGATTTGCACATACAATGCTGAAATGGTGGGATAAGGTCGCTGGAAATTGGACACGGTGGAGGATCTCCCACCAAGGATCTCCGGTCTTGGGAATGTATTCAGTATTCTCGACGACAATTGATCCATAAAAAATCTTGAGGACAAAGTGAAAGAGAAGGCTGACAAGCAGCTGAATGGCGGTGCTGGACCGATAAGAGGGATGTACACACCGAACTAGAACGTATGACCAGGGGGTAGGAGATCCCTTGAGCGGCGGGGCCATGCGGAGGACAGTCAAAGCTGTGCAGTAAATTACTTGCTTCCGCTTATATCAGTGCGACCATGGAGACTGCCCTAGCAAAAATTCGACCCCACGTTTCTTCTTCTCTTCCCCATCAAAAGACCCCCGCAAATCTCCTCCATGCACTCGAGTCAACCTTGGCAGAGACCAGCTCAGATCGCACACCAACAGCTTACTTTGCTGCACTAATCACCACCCTTGATGGCACATTGCAAAAGAAGGACTCCGCGCTGGGAGACGGCGATGTCTTACCAGCAGTTCTCTACCTGCTTGCCTCGGTAGCACCCTTTGTTCCCCGTCCGGTCATCCAGTCAAATCTGAACACGTTGCTCTCTCTCACTGCACCACTATTTCCTGCTCTTTCGTCTCATGCACCTCCACTACGATCTCAGCTCACCTTGTACGATTTCGTTTTCCGTGCGCTCGATCGATCCCAGCTGGATATGCCTGCAGTGCGCCAGTCTTTTGCAACCATTCTCCAGCTTTGTCTAGATCCCCGACCAAAAGTGCGCAAGCGAGCCATCGATCTGGTGGACGATGTATTATCCAATCCACCAACCCCACTCGTACGCCATCCTTATGCCGAGCGCGTCGCCGAGTGGATGCAAAATTCTCTTCATCAAGCTAGTTCTGGCGTTTTACCGAAATCAAAATCCTCTGCAAAGGAATCTTCTGTCGACAATGCCATCCGACTCCTTACATTATTGCGTCCAATTCTACCCAATCTCCCACTCGATGTGAGCAATATGTTCCAGTCCTTGACTTAGTCCTGATTAGCCCGAAAAGGTCATCCCGCCCATAACAACCACTCTTCTCACTTTCCCCAGACTTGGCAATCCGTACTTGTCGCAGTCCTCCTACTCCATTCTTTCCGATTTACTTTCAGCTTCGGTCATCTCGAGTACTCAAAGTAGCACAGAGCAAATTCCCGCCGTCCTGAGTGCCGTAGTGTCGTCGCCTCCCTTAAAAACTGATACTACGGTGATTCCATCGTGGTTGCGGGTCCTAGGAGACATTATGCTCGCATATCATTCTGCAGATCCAGAAGCGTCGTCACAAGAATTTATTAAGGTTTGGAAAACCGCGTGGTCTTACTTCGAGACAAATCATGTGGACACACGGCGAGCTGTTGCACAAACACTTGAATCGCTCAGCCAGTGCATTACTTTTTCCATGGCTCGCATAGCCGTGACAGATGCAGTGGATGGCAAATCATCTACCAGAGTCGCCATTATGCAAATCACGAAAGCCCTACATTCCTTGGCTTACGCGTCAGCCACCCCAGAGTTGTTACGTGTCGTATCCTCGCTCATCACAGGCCTCGACATGCGCATCGAAAACAGCGATTCGACCCTAGCAGCCCAGCCATTACTCTTACCACTGATACAGAAAATCGCCGACCTCCGGATTCAGAAGAATTTTGAACACAAGGAAGCCGCAGACAATACTATATCGACAGCCATGAGAGTCATGGGCCCTGCTGTCGTGCTCGAGGCAATACCACTGAACTTGGAACCTCAGGACCGGTTCG